AGTAATCCTGTCTTTATATGTTTATATTAAATGTTTAACAAAAAGGATAATTATCTTTGTAAACTCATTATTTCTTGGGCCCAAACTCCCAGTAAGGCTTTGTCTTTTTTTTTTTTTAAGGCTGTGTGCTTAATTAATGACATTGAGAAGCATTTTCAGAGTATTGGGAAAAATAGTCCATAGGAATACAGGATTTGGGGACAGAGGGATAGGTTTCTGTTTTTATTTTTTAGATTTCAGTGGAGTGTTAATAATTCAAATATGTGAGAATAGGAAATTTTATCTTCAGAATTATAATCATAGCCGTAAATGCAGTAGAGTCATAGCAGTAGATGCAGTAGAGTCATATCATGAAACTCCATAAGTCTCGGACTAATCACTTCACCAAACCAGCTACAAAACTGAAATGGAGTACCTTGAAAATACATCTCAAGGGGAACTGAGTGTTGCTAAAGTTTCTGGCTGATGTTCTGTGTAATAGAGATTCTTTATTTCCTTTGAACCCAACTATTAAACTCAGTATTCAGAAGCAGTTTGTTTAAGTGCTGATAAAAAAAAAAAAGGTAATTCTGAAAAGTGGTCCTTTTGGTAGATTTTCTTTATTTTTCTTTGCTTTGGTTGATTACTTCTTCACTGTGCTCCTATACTTTCCCATAGCATACTAGTTAATGTAGCAAGTTTCTCAAGCCAGACCGGCTGTTTCCACCATTATTGGCCTGGGCAAGTTACTTCTTTGTGCCTCCATTTCTTCTGTGAAATAAATAATATCTCCTTCACAAGTTTGTGTGAAAATTAAATGAGGAAATAATTTGCATATCACTTAGAATACAGCCAAACATATAATAGGCACCCAAAACAAAAAAGATGGGCTGTTCTCTTGGATCTTCTCACAGAGTTTCTTCCCCTTTTCTCTGTTACTAATATCTCTCCTCTCAACCTCCCTGCCCCAAACTCTGTGTTTCTCCCTATAATCAACCAGTATCAATACCTTGCTACTTCCTATTGCCTAGTCAAATTGTATGCTATTTTAGTCATTTCTTAATATAACAATTGCTTTTTCCAAATGGTTTTTGAAAAACACCTTCAACTTCTGTGTTTTGATTAGGTTGACAGATTTTTTCATTTCCTTCCCTGGACAATGGGTTTTTCCCCATAGTAAGCACTGTGGTTTTTTAGCTCTTAAAATATACACGAACATTCTCTAAGAAAGATGCAGTATTTTACATGTTTTATTATGTTTGTATCTTGTATGCTTAGTTCTATTAGCTATGTTTAAAATGAAGGAGAAAAGAATGCCTATTTAGTTAATGTGCTGAAACTTAAATGATTCATAATAGCTGAATACCTGTCATCAAGGTATATCTTCTAGCACTAACATTGGCTTCAGTGGTGTGGAGACCAGAACCACTTAACCACTATAAGCATGGCTCTTGTGGGTACCCTGTTACAGCTATTAATTTCAAGTACAACATGGCATGTCTTGTATTAGGAGTCTGTACTATGTATTGATGTCAGCAAAAATCATTTACAAATTCTCGCTTATGACTGGTCTCTAAGATAAGTCTTTAAAGACTTTTTTATCCATTAATAGAAGACATGAGACAAAAAGTGTGGCAGCCAGCTATTTGATCTACTAAAAATTTTGGTTAAATACAATGGATATATGAGCTTTCCTATTGATACTGTATCTTTAAAACCTTTATAGATTATTTTATTGAGCTGATTGTTCTTTTTATGTGAATTTAATTAAGATTTCCTAACTTAATGTATATTTGGTAATCTTCTTTGTTTCTTCTCTATATTATATATACTATAATGTGTTAAGGTGCTAGTGCTTGCATGAAAATTTACTTGTGCTTAAGAAAAAAACAATTTCCACCGTGAATAGAATAGTGTATTTCTTTGTTTTACTTGCTTAATCGGTGGGGTTTTTCCCCCATTGTAAGTGTTGTCGTTTTGCAGCTCTTAAAATATACACCAACATTCTCTAAGAAAGAAGCAGTAGTTTACATGTTTTATTATATTTGTACCTTGTATGCTGAGGTCTTTTTTGAGAGAGAAACACATGTTTGGTGAGTTCATATTTCTTAAAATATGCGTGATTCTTCAGACTGGAATCTAATGAAATAGGACTCCCATTTGAAAACTAAAGAGTTAAGGCTATAACAGAGGATAAAAGTGATCAAATGATTAGCCAGGGGCTAATAGAAATTCTGGAAAGAATGACAGATTGTATATTAGAAAGAAATGTGATCTCATATTCATTGTAGCTTTATACATCTAAAGATCCAAAAGAAATAATAGGAAATTACTGAAAGAAATGAATATCTGAAACTTTAGAGTTGCATGTGGTGTTGAATTAATCCAAGCAAGAAAGACTGATGGGCAGATAATAAATTACTTTGTGTAGGAAGTCTGCATTCCTTATATTCAAGGTACTTTTGTTTTTTTTTTTTTTTTTCAAAATATATTTAAGTAGTTCTAGGCCAGTTTCAGAAAATTGAATTTATGATTTTCATCATTGCGCCATATGTGTGTAGTTCTTTGGAATAAAAAAAATATTATAAAGACTCCAAATCCTTGAGTGGAAGAGGGTAATCTAAACCATCCTTCCGTTCTATGCCAAATTGGTAGCATTTTTCCCTGTGAGAATATGAACAATATAGAACACATTTTTGCATACAGTCAATTGTGATACCCCATAAGTAAAAGAGTTTGCAGAAATGTCTCAATGGGTTTTACTCAACAGCTATACGTATTCTGGGGAAAAAGAAATAGTCATAAACTAAAAAATATACATACGTATATTTTTATTACAGAGAACTGATTATTTGACTTCTGAATTTTACTTTGCCTTAAGTACATGTTATTTAACTAAAAAAATTGAGAGTGTGTATGTTTGTGTGTGAGTACTACTGTCTGTCTCCATACAGATTTACACACAAACTGGTATGTATTCTTTTTTCTCTAAAGTTAAGTGGTCACGCAGCGTTATAATTGTGGAGAAGTTCAGCTGCTTTCAAATATTTTGATTGAGATATACATGTTCTTCTTAAACTGTTTGAGCTTTTCAATCAAATTTTCCCCAGGTTTTTGCCTTTCAGAATTAGAGTTCATTTATGTTCTTAGTTTTTGTAGGTCCAAGGAGAAAGTGAAATGTTTCCTGAAATATAAATAATTAATAAAATTAAAATGCAGGCAGAGTATGCTCTTTATTCTTCATGGACATTTTCTTGTTGACTCTTTTTTTTATATATATACTTAATCTTCAAGGGGAAACAGATTTTTACTCTATTAAACTAAAATTTTGACTCCAAATCATCTGGGTTTCTCTATATTGAAGCATTTAAGGTTAAACTCAAGTATGTATATATAAATGAGTTCCATATTCTGTAACCATATTAAAACTTTTCCTACTATTTGATGGAAGATTTATAGAATTTGTTTTATGTATGTATGTGTGTATGTATTTAGAGACAGGGTCTTGCTCTGTCACGTAAGCTGGAGTGCAGTGGTCCTATCATAGCTCACTGCGACCTCAAACTCCTGGACTCACTTGATCCTCCTGCCTCAGCCTCCCAAGTAGCTAGGATGATAGGCACGTGCTACCATGCCCGGTTAATTGGATGTTTTTATTTCTTTATAGAGACAGGGTCTCTCTGTGTTGCCCACGCTGGTCTTGAACTCCTGGCCTCATGTGATCTTCCTACCTCTGCTTGCCAAAGTGCTGTGATTACATTTGTGAATCATCTAGCCTAGCCTGAATTTACTTTTTAATAACTACATCAGAATTAGGGCCAGGCACTCACACCTGTAATTCCAGTACTTTAGGAGGCCAAGACAGGAGGGTTGCTTGAGACCAGATGTTTGACACCAGCCTGGGCAACATAGTGAGACCTCCATCTCTACAAAAAATTTAAAAAATAGAAAACTAGCCAGGCATGGTGGCATACTCCTGTAGTACCAGCTACTTGGAAGGCTGGGGTGGGAAAATTGCTTGAGCCCAGGAGTTGGAGGTTGCAGTGAGCTGTGGTTGTGCCACTGCACTCCAGCCTGGGTGACAGAGTATATCTTCTAGCACTAA